AGTGCTGCTTTCAGGAGCTCTTGTTAGGCAGGCCTGGTGGTGATGAAATCTCTCAGCATTTGCTTGTTTATAAAAGATTTTATTTCTCCTTCACTTATGGAGCTTAGTTTTGCTGGATATGAAATTCCAGGTTGAAAGTTCTTTTCTTTAAGGAAGTTGAATATTGGCCCCCACTCTCTTCTGGCTTGTAGGGTTTCTACTGAGAGATCCACTGTGAGTCTGATGGGCTTCCCTTTGTGGGTAACCCGACCTTTCTCTCTGGCTGTCCTTAGCATTTTTTTCTTCATTTCAACCCTGGTGAATCTGATGATTACGTGCCTTGGGGTTGCTCTTCTTGAGGAATATCTTTGTGGTGTTCTGTGTATTTCCTGGACTTGAATATTGGCCTGCCTTGATAGGTTGGGAAAGTTCTCCTGAATAATATCCTGAAGAGTGTTTTCCACCTTGGATTCATTCTCCCCATCACATTCAGATATACATATCAAACATAGATTAGGTCTTTTCACACAATCCCATATTTCTTGGAGGCTTTGTTCATTTATTTTCACTCTTTTTTCTCTAATCTTGCCTTCTCATTTTATTTCATTGAGTTGATCTTCAATCTCTGATAGCCTTTCTTCTGCTTGGTTGATTCGGCTATTAAAACTTGCGTGTGTTTCATGAAGTTCTCTTGTGTTTTTCAGCTCCATCAGGTCATTTATATTCTCCTAAACTGTTTATTCCCGTTAGCATTTTGTCAAACCTTTTTTCAAGGTTCTGAATTTCTTTGCATTGGGTTAGAACATTTTCTTTTATCTCAGAGAAGTTTCTTATTACCCACCTTCTGCAGCCTGTTTCTGTCAATTCATCAGACTTATTCTCCATCCAGCCTTGTTCCTTTGCTGGTGAGGAGTTGTGATCCCTTAGAGGAGGTGAGGCATCTGGTTTTGGGTGTTTTCATCCTTTTTTTGCTGGTTTCTTCCCATCTTTGTGAGTTTATCTACCTGTGATCTTTGTAGTTGGTGACTTTTGAATGGGGTCTCTGAGTGGATGCCCTTTTTGTTGATGATGAAGTTATTTCTTTCTGTTTTTTTTTGTTTTTCTTCTAACGGTCAGGCCCCTCTGCTGTAGGACAGCTGGAGGTCCACTCTAGACTCTGCCTGGGGATCAGCTGTGGTGGCTGCAGAACAGTAAGGGTTGCTGCCAGTTTCTTCTGTTATCTTGGTCCCAGAAGGATAGCCACCAGATGTCAGTCTGAGCTTTACTTAATGGGGTTTCTCTGTGGATATATGGGGGTCAGGGAGCTGCTTGAGAAGACAGTCTGATCCTTATAGGAGCTCAGCTGCTGAGCTGTGAGCTCCGTTGTTTTGTTCAGAGTTGCTGGGCAGGTATGTTTTAAGTCTGCTGCAGCGGAACTCATAACTGCCTTTTTTCCCATGTGCTCTATCTTGGGAAGGTGGGTCTTTATTTATAAGTTCCTGACATGCCGCTGCGTTTTTTCAGAGCTGCCCTTCCCAGCTAGGAGGTAGCCTAGTCACAGTTTGCCAGTAGAGGAGTTCCTGAGCTGCTGGGGGCTCTTCCCAGCTGCTGTGTGAACTTCCTTGCGGTTTTGTTTATAGAGGTATAGTTAGAACTGCCTCAGTAATGGCACTGTGCCTTAATAATGGCGGACTGCCTCTGTAATGGCAGACTGCCTTGGTAGTGGCAGACTGCCTTGGCAATGGCGGATGCCCTTCCTCCCACAGAGTGGGACCATCCTGGATCCAGCTGCACTTGTTGGAAACTCTCAGTCCTGAGCATTTCATATTGCTGGTCTTTGTGGGGATGGGACCCACTGAGCCAGATCACCTGGCTCCTTGTTTCAGCCCCCTTTTTTTCAGTTGAATGGGTGGCTCTGTCTCCCAGGTGTTGCAGGTGCCGCTTGAAATGGCCGCCCAGATTTGTGTGAGTTTTTGTGCGGAGACCTGCTGCGTTGGCTGAAACAGCTGTGCTGGAGACTTGTAGTGCTTTTCAGCCTGGGAATCTCCTGGTCTTTGGGCACTAATAACTCGTTTGGAAATGCTATTATCATTCACCCTCTGTGTTGTTCTTGCTGGGAGCTGCACTCCAGAGCTGTTCCTGTTTGGCCATCACTATACATTGTGATTCTGAAATATCCTAGGTGACTCAAAATACTTTTCCATTGCCTGGGGCTCCTTTGGTGGCTTTCTCTCACACTTAAAACCCAACCCTGACTCTGACCTACGGGGCCCTTTGTGTCATCTCCCCACTCTCCCTTGCTGACTTTACCCTGGACCTGTGTGTTCTTCCTTGGCCATGGCGAGCTCACAGCCTCTAACTGGAATCCTGTGCATCCTCATCCTTGAGGGTCCCACCTTGACCTCACTGAGGTCTCTTCTCACAGTGCCTCCCCTGACTGCCTTCCGTCTCTCTTCTCTACTTACTCTTCATAGACCTTACTAATAGCTGAAATTAATATTTTTTTCACTTGTCTTATTCGCTGTCTCCCCCACCAGAATTTAAGCTCTACGTACTAGATTACAAGCCCTAGTAGGGTTTGGAGCAGGGTGTATGTCTTGTTTATCTAATTTCTTTATTCTCAGCACCTAGAACAGGGTCTGCATAGTAGGTGCTCATGAAAGAGTGAACTTGAGCAAGGCATTTAATGACACATTTGAATACCATGTGTCACATTATCTTTGCACACAAAATGTTGAGAAGATGTTGGTCAGAGGATACAAAATTTCAGTTAGATGGAATAAGTTCAAGGGATCTCTCTGTACAACATAGTGACTATAATTAATGACAATGTATTGTATTCTTCAAAATTGCCTAGAGAATAGGTTTTATGTGTTCTCGCTGAGGGAATGTGTTCTCTTTCCGGGTCCACAAGGGGGCATAGTTTTAAGGGCAAGAACTTCCCAGCACCATGCCCCTCTCCCATGCCTCTCCATCCAGGGTAGGAAAGGGTCAAAAGTTAATCACTCCAGTGGAAGTTTAAGGGAACTCTTTTCATTGGCCAGGGAACTTGGAGAAGGTGGGAATGGCCCCCATGTTAAAAGTCCCTGTTTTCTGGGCAGATTTCCTCCCTGGGGTCCCCTTCTGTACTCTTCGTGGAAGCCTTTTTCTCTCTCCTTTTTCTTTTTCTTTACCTAAATAAATCACATTCTGCAAACACTGTTTTGGGGTTCAATATTTACTTTACAAGTGTACCTGCTGTGGTCCCCTCTCTCATTCTTGACGGAGCAGGAGACCAAGAGCCTGGAGCCCACCGGGAAGCAAGTTGAGCACTCTCCTGAACCCCAAAACCCCAACGTCAGCACACAAAAATGAATATGTGAAGCAATGCAAATGTTAATTACCTTGGCTTAGGCATTCTGTAATATATACATATTTTAAACAACATACTGTTTTGGAGGGGTTTCTTGGATACAGGGTCTTGCTCTGTCACCTTAGGTGGAGTGCAGTGGCACTATTATCATAACTCATTGCAGTCTCCAACTCTTGGGTTCAGGCAATCCTCCCACCTCAGCTTCCCAAGTAGCTAGGACTCCAGCCCTGTGCCACCACACTCAGCTAATCTTTTCAATTTTCATTAATATTTTTAAAGAGATGAGGTCTCGCTGTATTGCCTGGGCTGGTCTCGAACTCTTGGCCTCAAATGATGCACCTCTCCCTCCCAAAGTGCTGGGATTACAGGTGTGAGCCACCACACCTGGCCAAATATATACAATTTTAATTTGTCAATTAAAATAAATAAAATACATACAACTTGGAAAAAATGTTCAAAAGGCAAGTAATCAATTCTGTGTAATCTGTTTGCCAATGAAAGACCATAGTTGTATATGACCCTCCTGCCTTAGTCTTCAAGTGTATTTATAGCTGCCATTTCATGTTAATAGCTGGCACCTAGTGTCCAGGACCACCCCTCCAGGGTTAATTGGCTTGTTTCTTTTCTCCCACGCATGACAGACGACGTTTCCTTCAAGATGTCCTTCATGGTAATTATGAAACCCCGAGATCTCTTGCTTTACCTCTTGCCTCTTGTTCAACATGCCCAGTACCGAAGGCATGACAGCCAAGAGAGTGGACAGCATTTGAACTTTTTTCAAAAATAAAACCTTGGTATATAAAATACATTAGAGAATTCAGAAGGCCACATGAGTAAAGTATACTGAAAAGTAAGGCCTGGATAGATAAGAGACAGTTGGGAGGCCAAGGCAGGTGTATCACCTGAGGTCAGGAGTTCGAGGCCAACATGGTGAAACTCTGTCTCTACTAAAAATACAAAAAAAAAATTAACTGGCAGTGGTGGTGCGTGCCTGTGATTCCAGCTACTTGGGAGGCTGAGGCAATAGAATCGCTTGAACCCAGGAAGCAGAAATTGCAATGAGCCCAGATTGCACCATTGCACTCCAGCCTGGGCCACAGAGAGACTCCGTTTAAAAAAAAAAAAAAAAAAAAAAAAAAAAAAAGACAGTAAAAGTACCTCCTCAATAGTTTTAACTTTTAACCAAACTGTATTGTTCTTCTGCATTAGCATTTGCAAGGTTTCTTCTCAGACCCCACATCATTCAACATTTTGATGGATATGTTATTTATCAAAGGCAAATATAAAAGTAAGTACTGCAATTTCTATTTGCTGAAAAATTCTGCTATGTTTGCTGGTGTAGGAATTAGGGGGAAAATGAGTCATGCAAAAATGATTCTTATATTCTTGATAAGTGGCTGAATTATGGAGACCTAATGAAGTTTGAAAACACTGCATTGCGTGTCATCACTTAAACTAAATATCCCAGATTTTACTTACGCTAAAATTGTAAAGCAGCTTTTAAAACGTTAGTTCTTCCTTTATGACCTGATAGTTTAACATTCAGTTAATTGCTAAATGACTTTGAGAAATAGCTTTTATTTTGTCAAAATACACTTTTCAGTTGATGGTGCTAAACAGATGAGAGCTTTGAGGGCCAGCAGTAGAGGAACTCTGGCTAACACCGCCATCCACTCTTCACTATTGGCAGGTGCTTTGGAAGTATTGATGGAGATGAAAAACCAAGATGTGAGGTTCACCACAGATACCTATATTCTTGCTTTTGCAATTTGCTACAAACTGGTAAGATTCTTTCCCCTTAACTTTGAGAGCATCGTGGGTAGTCTTTGAGAGAGGGTTTTTTTTTTTCTCTCTTCAAATAAAATTTAGTTCCTCTGAAGTCTGTTTTCCATCTGGTGCAAATGTTTTAATTTTAAATGTATTCATTTTTAGAAAACTCAAGTTAGCCATGTCAGACAGTATTGTCATGGGAAAAGTAATTTTTTCATCTTTTACTCTTCTCTGGTGATTGTGTAGATAGTGAGAACAAGAGGCAATGTGTTGGGTTCAGGTCCTGCTTTAGAGTCATCTCTCATGCTGAACTCCGCTAGATCCATCTTCCCTGTTGTCCCCTTCTGTAGAAATCTTAGCTTCCTTCATTGGTAAACTCAAGGACAACTTTGTCCTCATCTGTGAAGTTTTTTATAATCACCGAAACTGGAAGTGATGTTTTTCACCTCCAGATATCCCTTATTTATGCTATATTTGTATCACTTCCCTGGTACTTTAGACATAGCCTAATGCTGTACTTGGCAGATCCGCGTTCCATTCTACCCACTTGACTGTGAGATCCTTAAGGCTTCTTTGTATCCCACCACGTAACACAGTGCCCGGTATCCAGTTGTTTTTTTAATAAATGTAGGTGACATGAAAATGAACTCTGAGGACAGAGACCATGACTTACAAGTTCTTTTATCAATAGAAAAAGTTAAACGGGCATGGTGCCTATAATCCCAGTTACTTGGGACGCTGAGGCAGGAGAATCACTTTAACCCAGGAGGTGGAGATTGTAGTGAGCCGAGGTCATGCCACTGCATTCAGCCTGGGCAACAAGAGTGAAACTCTGTCCAAAAAAAAAAAGTTATTTTATCATTACTGTACCAGGATTATTTCTTGCCCATAGAAACTATTTCTTCAGTGTTTCGTTTAGTAAATGAATGTTAATTGGAATTGTGAAATGGTCAGTGTTTAACGTATTACTGTTGTCATTCAGACATTGTTAACCTGGCACACAAAACCTCTTTAATACTGAAAACAAAGGAACACCAAGTGAAGTAGAAGAACGTGGGCTGCTGAAAAACACCCATGAAGAGTGTGGCAATACCAGTTTTCCAAAACGGGGGGACAGCTGGGTTATAGTGGAAAGAAAACCAACTGGAAATTGAGAAACTTGGAGTCTAGTTGCAACTTTGGTATTAACTGGCTTATGTAGCTTAGAACTCATCACCTATCTCATTTTACAAAGGAGAGGGTTAGATTTGACCTTTTTTAAAATAAAAGTCCAGACAGTAAATATTTTAAGCTTTGGGGGCCACATATTTCTCTGCCTCATATGATCTCTCTCCTCTCTGTCCCATATTTGTTGTTTTTGTTTTAACAGGCCTTTAAAAATGTTAGTCCTTCTTAGCTTTGGCTACATTTAGCCTGAGGGTCATAGCTTGCTGACCTCTGGATTCAGAAATGCTTTCCATTCATACCATTCTATGATTCTAGGAGGCCAAAAAAAACACACAGCACTAGAGCATCACTTACTCAGCATTGCAATTCCCAGTCTTCCTGTGTTCTACTTAGGGATGCCTCCTTGAGTGTATACTGCAGTGAAGAGAATTTAAATTTTACTTAGAGACTGGGCGAGGTGGCTCATGCCTATAATCCCAGCACTTTGGGAGGCTCAGGTGGGTGGACCAGCTTGGCCAACATGGTGAACCCCGTCTCTACTAAAAATACAAAAATTAGCTAGGTGTGGTGGCACATACCTATAATCCCAGCTACTTTGGAGGCTGAGACAAAAGAATCATTTGAACCCAGGAAGCAGAGGTTGCAGTGAGCCAAGATCATGCCATTGAACTCCAGCATGGGCAACAGAGTGAGACTGTGTCTCAAAAAAAAAGTAAATAAATAAATAAATTCTACTTAGGAAAGACCAGAGGACTTTTCTCCCCTGTGTCATGTCTGAGAATAACTTGTTTCACCCAGTGGAGATGAGTTGAAAAAGTGATCTGGTCAGCTAGTACAAATTCCATGTCAATTCTGGCCCTCTCTCATCCCATTTGGACTTTATTTTGACAAGAGTTGCAACTTGGTCATGACAGATGACCTAGATGCACAGCCAGGCTGCTCTCATAAACCTAATCCCCCGCAGCATGCATAAAGGAAGAGGATTTGGTTTTACCCCTCCTGTCTTTATGTCATTCACATTCTTGGATTTTTACTTAAGGTTTCTATTTTCATGGGATTCTTTTATAATGTAAGTTAAAATTAGTGTTGATGTTTTCAAATATTTGACATATGAATATTTTTAGATTGGAAATTCCCCCAGGAAAAGTTTCCTTGTGTTGTTGAACCTTATTCTGGTAAAAACTGTCCCAATTCAGAAAATTGAAAATGAGCTTTAAAAATAATTTAGATTTGAGCTGCTAACATTTCAGTAGCCTGATCTATTTGCAAATAGTCTCTATATAGGGCTTAATCTTTTAAGTGGCTTGAGGGAGGCTGTAGGAAATCCTTACAAAAGGAAATCTAAGTACTGAGAACTATTAATCATTTTATTGAACTTAAAGGTTTATGACATTAATCGAACAATTCTGTCTCCTCACAGAATAGCCGTGAGTCTTTTAAAATCTGTACTACGTTAAGAGAAGAAGCCCTACTCAAAGGAGAAATTCTCTCCAGGAGAGCATCCTGTTTTGCTGTGGCATTAGCTCTGAATCAGGTAAAGCTTTGGGGTGCGCGTAAGTAATTGGGAATGGCCAGGACTTTACTACTTTCATGTGTCTTTGCTTTTATTTTCTTCCTTCTGACTGTATCATAAAGAAGTAGTACCAATAAAGAGACCAGTGCCCTTGTTGCTATGGAAACCTATAATCTATACATATAACTGCAAAGAATGTCTTCATTTGCAATTGGGAACCTAACATGCATTTCTAAATAGAAGGGTAGAGAAAAGTAATTAAAAGGAAAATTGCAAATCATCAGTTTATGTTGTAACGTTCTCAGAGAACAGTTTAATTTAATGCTTTCCAAAGTTGAATTTGCCTCAGATGAATGAGGTCTGCTGAGTCAGTCCATTGTAGACGTGGGATCCGTCATATATTTCATAGTTATACCCAACTACTACCGTTATTATTGGGGTAAGTCTTTAGTGATCATTTAGCCTCATTCCCCTCAGTGGACAGATGGAGGTAGCAGAGACCCAGAGATAAGAGGGGAGCTCCCTAAGGTCCTGCCTCAGTGATGGACAGAGTTAGTGCTGGAACCCTGGAACGTCCTCTCTTGGAAGAGCCTCTCCTCTGAGATTTCCTGTTCCAAGGCCTAAAAAATATGAAATGCTTTACATGTTAGTAAAAGGAAACTTTATAGCAGAAAAATAATAGCCAAGCCAGGTTATTTTCCTGGCAGGTAAAATATAGCTGGAGAACTCTTATTATTAATTAAAAATCAAAATATGAGAGTGATCCATTTCTATATACTGTTGGGAAGAGTCATTGAAGAACAAAGGCTTAAGAGATTATATACTTACCAGGCCTCCACTGGGTCAAGAACATTTCTTTAACTTCCTAAGTTTCCCTTGGTATCCAGGGGAATTATTTTGTCTTCTTCATCTCTCATGAGGTAAGTGAGGTCTCTTCTAAGGTATGTGTTTTTCTTTCTTTGTGTAGCTCCTGTAGTTTTTCTTTATGTGCAAGTTATACTGTTTGGTGCACAGATACAAGACGTTACCTCACTGTAACGTCATCATTGTAAATCCCTCACTTTAGCATTGTAAAGTGCCTGTCTAGGTCATGTGTTCTGTTTTGCCCTGAATTCAACCTTATCCAACATTAGTATCTCCACCCCTCTTTTGCTTGTATGTTTCTTTGTTTTTATCAGGTGTGCATTTGCCTGACGTACAGCTTTTCCTGTCCCTTATTTTTGCAGTCTTTCTGAATTGTTTTGTTTTAGCTGGGTGTCTTATCTACTACATAAATTTCTATGTTGCTTTGTAATATGATGCTAATCTTTTAATATCTGTTTATATTAATATGACATATATTTGATCTTAGGTCTCATTTGGTGCTTTCTGTTTCGATAACTTTTTCTACCATCTTATGCCATGTGGTTATTTTCTCTAGTTGGTATTTTTGTTCTAGTGGTGACTTAAAAACCATAGTTTTGATTTTCTTAATTCTCTAATTCTTTAATAATACCTGTTAATTCCCTAATATAAGTAATGGTGAAATGAGTATATTCCCTCTGTTTTTTGTCTTATTTTCCTGCTCTCCGTCCACACCCAATTTTAGTTGGTATTTCAGTTTGATAGTGCTCACTTTACTCTTAAATGTACTTGATTTGTCAGTTTTAAGTGATATTTTTTGGGCCACTGGTGATAAAGATAAGGAAATGGGAATGCATTCTCTACCTCTCATGTCTTTCCCTTCGCTTTCTAACTTTTGTTAGTATTAACTTTGCTTCGTGGTCCAAGCATGTAACATTTACACACTGTTTTATAGCCTCACTCCCCACTTGTTGGTCCTATGTGTAGTTAAATAGGTGGTTTGACACTGCTTGTTTTTCCAGTCTTCTCTTTGTTGGCTGAAGTGAGTATTCTGGTAAATTCTTTGGAGGAACAACGTCCCCTGAGTTCTTGGTATTTTAAATTATTTAATTAGCCTGTTGTTTTTGTACTAGAACTACAATTTGGCCAGATTTACAATTTCAAGGTGACAGTGCTTTTCTTGAGGTTTTTTTAGGCATTGCTTTTCTGTCTTCTAGTATGGAATATTGCTGTGGAGAAATCTAAGGCCTATCTGATTTTTTTCCACTTCTGATTGACATGATCTTGTTCATTTTTCTCATTTCTATCTGCTATGTCCACGGAAATGTTTTTCTCTTAGGGTTTCTTCATCAGCCAGTTTTTTTTTTTTTTTTTTTTTTTTTTTTGGAGACAGAGTCTCACTCTGTCGCCCAGGCTGGAGTGCAGTGGTGCAGTCTCAGCTTGCTGCAACCTCCGCCTCCTGGATTCAAGTTATTCTCCTGCCTCAGCCTCCCGAGTAGCTGGGATTATAGGCATGCACCCAGCTAAGTTTTGTATTTTAGTAGAGATGGGGTTTCACCATGTTGGCCACACCCAGCTAATTTTTGTATTTTGGAAGAGATGGGATTTCTACTAAACCCATCTGGGTTAGCCAGGCTGGTCTTGAACTCCTGACTTCAAGTGATCTGCCTGCCTCTGCCTCCCAAAGTGCTAGGGTTACAGACGTGAGTCACTCTGCCGGTTATTTTCTTAATTTTGTTCTACTGTGTTCCTTTTCCCCTTTTAAAAATACAATCTTTATCAGTGTCATGTGGTGGTTCTTTTTTGGCTATTCATCACTGAAAAGTAAGTTTAAGGCCTAGCACAGTGGCTCCTCCCTGTAATCCCAGCACTTTGGGATTGGGGAGGATCACTTGAGTCCAGGAGTTTGAGACCAGCCAAGACAACATAGGGAGACCCTGTCTTTCCAAAACAAAAACAAAAGCTAGTACAGCAGTATGTAGTACGTGCCTGTAGTCCTTGCTGCTCAGGAGATTGAGGCGGAAAATATCTTGTGCCCAGGAGTTTGAGGCTGCAGTGAGCCATGATTACACCACTACACTCCAGTCTGGGTGACAGAGCAAGACGCTGTCTCTAAAAAATAAAAATTCAAAAATAAAAGAAAAATGTAAGTTTCTTTTAGACCTGTCACTTGTAAATTTATGTTGAGACAGAGAGAGCAACAGAAAGGCATACCAGAGCTCTATTATAGACTAGCAGGATTTTTCTTCATATAACCCAGAGTTTTGTCAACAAGTATACACAGGCTTTCTTTCTTTTAAGCCAACAGAAATAGGCACTGAGGAGATTTTTGATGAGCAGTCTCTTCTCTGCCTCTGCTGTCTTAGGAACATACTGCTTCCAGTAAATACGGCTTGTCTGTGGAAACGCTTGACTAGCCTCATCTCTGCCACCACAAGGATCTGCAGAAGTTCTCTTTACTAGTCCTACACTCTGTTCTTTCTCATCATTGTAAACAGGAATTAGATTTTGTACTTCAGGTTGTGTCCTTCCTTTGAGAGCTGTCCTGTTGTGGGTTCTTTCTGAGATACAGAGCACGGTCCACCTCGGACTGCTTTCCCCTGAACTCGGCCAGCCTCCATCTCGTGTTTCCAGCAGTGTTTCCAACTCTGCTGTAGTTGAGGTTTCTATGTTCTAATTTCCTATGTTAAAGATAGGCTTTTCACTTTGTTCCTCATTCCTATTTTTTTAGAAGCTGATTCCAGTAGGAAAAGGGGAAATGCCAACTTTATGCCTGCATCTTAAAAACGGGACTCAGGCAGGTTGTTAAAACATTCAACAATATGCTATTGGAGGGAGCATTTTATGGAATGTTTAGTTTTAATTTCCAAAACATTTTTTCCTTGTGGACTTCAAAACCCTGGGGTCACTTTAATAGGAATATACCGCCTTCTCTAAGTAATCTTTTACAAGAACATTAGTTCATCTGATATAGGATATGATTTGTTTCTCTTCCTTCTAGAATGAGGTGGCAAAAGCGATGTCCATTTTTTCTCAAATCATGAATCCAGAAAGCGTAGCCTGCACTAATTTAAATGTAAGTGACTTCTTTATGGTATAAGGTAAGCCTTGAAATGTATACATGTATTATAATAAAATGATGCCTAAAGTTTTGGCTGTGTACAGTGACTTATCTCCCAAGGTTTTTATTCAATTCAAATCAGCAGTCATTTATTGAATTCTTCTCTGTGAAAATTACAGTATCATCCTTGTAAGAAGAGTCAACACAGCTGTTGCTTCCAGGATTTTGTAAACAGGTAGGAGGGTGGTAGATATGCTCACATATAAGACATGGCTAGATGCTGAAGACATGAAACATGGCTAAGAAAGCTGTAGATGTAGAGAGGAGAAGGGAATGGAGACATATCCTCCAGGCTGTTTACTGAGCCTTGAAAGAAACCTGTGTGCTAACTGCATCTTATTGGTGGTCCCTAACTCATGGCAATGTTGCAGTTAATGAGCTTATATACCTATGGTACACAAAATAGTGCCTGACATGTGGTAAGCATTCAATAAATGTTATCTATTGGTATTCTTACTATGTTGCCAATATGCCCGTGGCCGCCTTCCCCATTAACTTCTCTGGGCCACCAGGGTCACTTATTTGGGGCCTTGTGGTCTGGATCAGCAAGCGGCTGCACACATATCACCAAGACATGCAAAACCTTAATCCCTGAAACTAAAAGCAAAGGGAAAAAATTATCACAGATTCAGAAGATTATAATAATAAATAAAGTTTGAGGCGTATTACCACTCCCAGAGTTTGAGCAGTGAGTCACAAAACCTTCCTGGACCAATTAAAAAAGACTGTCTTGTCATTAAGACCATTGAGACTCCTTGCATACTGTGACTACTTATGTGTGGGGAGTTGCAAAAGAAAAAACTTTCAGGAGCTTATAGTTTTCTGAAACAGTCAAAAGGTTGAGAGGAAGAAAACATTTTAAGAAGGATAGAAATGTGTAAACATTAGCATGACACAAACTAGGATAACAGATCACAGTAATTAATTGAGTATTCTAAGATGAGTAGATGAAGAGGATCAGGGGGATCAGGGGTGGCTGGCAGGAGCAACGTGAGGGGCCTTTAGGGAGGGTACAGCAGCTTTTACATGAGAGAAAGTTCAGTCCGAGGAACCAGAAAGATGGAAACAGTGACAACAGAGAATTTGAAAAAATGAAATGAGTTTGGAATGGAAGAAACAAAGTACTAGAAAAATATTGACCAAGACTTTTCAGTTCCAAAGGGCATGAGCTTGGAGGGCATGAACTCAAGTATATACACCTGGTAAAGGATTTGATATGAACTGATGAATGCCATAAGCAAGCAGGGAAGTAAGAGGGCTCAGAAACGAGTTTGTAAGGCATTAATGGTGAGGCAGAGGAAGCACCATTAAAGACAGGAAAGGACTCATAGCCGTGTAGAAATCCAAATGGCTGAGAGCTGTCCCTGTGTTAGGCTGCTGCAGGTAGCTCCTGTTCATCCTGGGGGCCGAAGCAGAAACTGTAGGTTTGAGCAGGTGGATCAGCCTGCAAAGCTCACAGGCTAAAGCAGGTCCGAGAGGCCGAGGTTGGCAAAGGTCCAGAGTCCAGAAGGTCAGGTCATTTGAGCAAGTGATACTAGTAAGCTAAACAGACTGGGAATCCTGGTCTTCCAACAGGCACAGTACATCTTTGACTTCTCTGCTTCCCATTGGATATGGACAGCTCTGATATTCCAGTAACTGGTTCTGAGAGAGACAGTGGCCTTCAGAGGTCCCATCTATCATAATGTGACAGGGTAGAACTGCTGGGATTAGCAAGATGCTCTTCCACTAAAGCTAAAGCTATTCAAGTCTCTTATAACATCAGGTAGGAAAGAAAGACAGGAGAAACTGGGGAGAAGTGTTTTACGTGGATCATTGGTCACTTTTCCTAGAGTTGAAGCAAGGTTAAGGATTTCAATAAGCATTAGTAGTAAGAAGTCAAACAGTGAGGTAAGCAGAGTTTTAATTTAATTTATTGAAGGTATCATGCTGGGTACTTTATATTTGTTATACAACAAAAGTTCTATCAAAACAATTTTTCTCCACATTATAGCTGTGGAAAATGAAGATTCAAGAGTAAATAAATTACCTTAGTTCTCCCAGCTAATTAAATAGCAGTGTCAGGGTTTTAACACCAACAACTCTGACTGCAAAATTTAGGGTTTCCTCACCACTCCAGACCTACAGAGATAAAAAGGGTGTGTCTCTTTTATCCAGGACTGGGACTAGCGGCTCCTCGTGAATAAAAAGAACACAAGACTGGATGTCAAAAAACACGATCCCACTAGTGCATATAATCCACCTCTGAATTTAGATTTATCATCTCCTCCCATCCTGGCCTATCTCTCACAGTTATAAGAATCTGTGCATGGGCTGGGTGCGGTGGCTCATGCTCCCAAATCCCAGCACTTTGGGACGCTGAGGTGTGCCGATCATTTGAAGTCAGGAGTTCAAGATCAGCCTGGCCAACATGGTGAATGAAACCCCATCTCTACGAAAAATATGAAAATTAGCTGAACGTGGTGGTGCATGCCTGTAATCCCAGCTAACTTGGGAGGCTGAAGCAGGAGGATTGCTTGAACCTGGGAGGCAGAGGTTGCTGTGAGTGGAGATTGTACCATTGCATTCCAGCCTGGGCAACAGAGAAAGGCTTTGTCTCCAGTAACAACAGAAAGAATCTATTAATGTTTTTTTTTTTTTTTTTTTTCCCAATGAGAAGGTCCTTTGGTGGAGTTAAACATGAGCCTGCTGAGCATGAGGCTGTCCATTCCCAGTAGGAAGAGCAATGCAGGGCATGGTGGAGAAAGCATATGCGCGCCCACCAGGCAGCTGGAACAGCTCCTTTCCGCTGAAGGCTAGAAAGGAAAGTCAGCCTATGGATGCAGTTGGGATGGGCGTGTTTCAGGCAAGGACTCCATAGGAAACCTTGAAGAGATACTAAGTATGAATCATCCTCTCTGAACTGTATCACAGAATTACCCACTGTCAAGAAACTTAAAGATAGTTTCAGTGTTTAAAAATTCTCAGGAAATTCTTTCAAATGTTCAACTGAAATTTCTCATGTTGTAATATAAGCCTATGTCATCTTCCTCAGAGTTGATGAAAATTATATGGTTGCCGGGCGCGGTGGCTCAAGCCTGTAATCCCAGCACTTTGGGAGGCCGAGGCGGGTGGATCACAAGGTCGAGAGATCGAGACCAACCTGGTCAACATGGTGAAACCCCGTCTCTACTAAAAAATACAAAAAAAAAATTAGCTGGGCATGGTGGCGCGTGCCTATAATCCCAGCTACTCAGGAGGCTGAGGCAGGAGAATTGCCTGAACCCAGGAGGCGGAGGTTGCGGTGAGCCGAGATCGCGCCATTGCACTCCAGCCTGGGTAACAAGAGCAAAACTCTGTCTAAAAAAAAAAAAAAAAAAAAAAAAGAAAATTATTTGGTTGCCATTCTCAAGTTAGTAATTTTTTCAGATTCTAGGTCTCTGTTAATAGAGAACATTTTTTAAAAATTACTGCATGGCTGGGCGCAGTGGCTCATTCCTGTAATCCCAGCACTTTGGGAGGCCAAGGCAGGTGGATCATGAGGTCAGGAGATCAAGACCAACTTGGCTAACACAGTAAAACCCTATCTCTACCAAAAATACAAAAAATTAGTCAGGCATGGTGGCATACGCCTATAGTCCCAGCTACTCAGAGACTGAGGCAGGAGAATCACTTGAACCCAGGAGGCAGAGGTTGCAGTGAGCAGAAATTGTGCCGCTTCACTCCAGCCTGGGCCACAGAGCAAGACTCTGTCTCAAAAAAAAAAAAAAAAAAAAAGACCGCATGGACCTTATCTTCTTCTCTAAGACTAACTCATCTACTTGAAATTCTTAAAGACAGCTTGTTAATTATTGAGAGGTGGAAACTGACAAGCTGAGTAGAGTCTGGTTAGTCAGTATTCACAGAAATAAATGAAACTTTTTTCTGATTAACTTTAAAAATTAATGCCGTATGCTAAAATTTTTTGCTAATGTCAGTTGAAATTTGAACTTAATTTTCTCCCTAACTTGTTATATTAAATTGCTCCTGTTCCCAGTGTGACCCAGAGGGCCCAGTTTGCTGTTTTCCCAGCCAATACTTAATACATACTGCATTGGTGTAACAGATCTCATCAAAACACATGTATGTTGACTCTACCTTTTCAGTCTGAATTGAAACCTCTCAGTCTCAAACACAGATCCTCTTTAGCAATGCTGCTTCACATCAAAGGATTAATTACTACTTCCAAATATGTCTGAAAGTAGCAGAGACCAATGCAGGGTAACTGTCCACTGATTCTATTTGATTTTTAATCATTTCTCTATAAAACCTGGCATGTCTCCAATTGGAGATCCATTTAGGAATTGAATTTACCTTGCAAGGAAACTGACAAGTGGTTTTGCTGCTTTTATCATTTATTTTTTAATACAGGTGACTGTCTTAATGCCCCTTTCTTCTACCCACTTAGGTCACCCTAAAGTTCTAACTTATGCTAGGAAGTCTGGAGTGCACAGGGAGGAAAGGAGACAGGACTCATTTCTCACAAATTTCCTCATGGCAGGGTCTTACTCATATGTGTAAGTTAAGAATTGCATTTGTTTAGGAGCAATGCAATATAGACTCCAAAAATAAAAATAAAAGCTTATACAAATTAGACCCTTTATTTTCTTCCATGTAGAAAAGCAGTCTGGTCAGTCCACGCCTGATACGGCATTCCATGATGTCATTAGGAACCCAGCCTCTTTATATATTTCTACTGTACTATCTTTACATGTGACTTCCATTAATTACATCCCTAGTCCAGCAAGAAGTAGGAAAAATGGGAGTGGACCAAGAAGTTCATCCCTTTTAAAGATACCTTCTCAAATGTCTTCATCCAACAACTTATATTGATGGTGTTATTGGCCATAACTTAATCCCATGACCACGTCTAATCGCAAAGAACCCTGAGAAATAGACTTTGAGTTTCATACATGAAAGAGTCTTAAAGTTAGGGAGTCCTGTTATCAAAAAAGGAGGAGAGAATGGATATTGGTTAGAAAACTGGCAGCCTCTACCACACTATGATATTCTTCAAGTATAGCAAAAGTAAACCGAAAATAAAAGAAATAAGAAATGTAAAGTTCTGCATGCTCAGAGCTTCTGTTCCCTTTTTTGTTCAAAGGTATCTAGTAAGTTATTTCCTGAGGCCTCAGAAAATCAAAGAGGCAGGAAGCACGTGTTCTTTAAATAGTTTTTCTTACGAAAATTTCCCGTTGCTTACTAACTGAATTTCCCTAGTCTTTTGTTTGAAATCTGTAAGATTAAGGCAATGTGCTGCACTCTACTTTCGTTTTCTTTAGCTGCACCCTGAGACTGGTTTGAGATAAACCCCTGGCTTTAAACTTTCTCTTTGCCTTTTCAGTGACTGCCTCATATACATTGTCCTTCACCAGTGTATTTTAAGGTAGTGAGCCTTATTCTTGAAATCCCTACTGAATCAGAGATAGTTGCTGGAGGGAGGAAGAGAAGTTGGGAAAACTTAGGAAGAAATATTGAAATCTTCCAGGGAGCACATCATTTCTAGCAGAGGGCTCTAGATGGTTTATTTTTGTAAATTGCTGGGGGAGCCAAGCACCCCTTCTTGTTTATTGTTACTTAGAATTGGCTGGGTGCCTTGTACTGGAAGCATAGCATTGCATTGGACAAGGTAGACTTGTCTTTGCCTTTGGGAGGACACCACCATCAACCAAATTGGGATTGGTTTTTATTAACAAGGGTGCTAAGAACTGTGAAGGGTCAGAGATTTTATCCCACTTGGAAGCTAATGAGTTAGCCTGCCCTACTTTCATGAATGCTAGTGGAGTATACAAGACACTGAGAAATAAAGGACAGATTATTATATAGCAGACACCAGGATATGCATGTTTCCCGAGCCCCAGGTCCTGCTGGGAGACATGAAGAGTTCTATGTGCCTCTTGCACATAGGAAGTTGCTTTTAAGAGAAGAACCTTGAGCTTAGGTAACCCAAATCTCTCATAGTGGCCAGTAAGCATGCCTTTAACTTTGCTTTGGATACGACACTGTGTCTGTTGTATACAAATATCCTTAAAAAGATAGTCTGGAATAAAAGCAGTGCTTTTGCTCTCAAGGCATGCAGAAATTTGAGAGACTCCATGGAGAGTTGTCTCCCAAAAAAGGTGTGCTCATGATTTTGCCTGGGCTTTAGAACACTGCATTTAAATTGAGTTCTTTGTATTTCATCTACCTGGGATCATTTCTATTCTCTTCAGAACCAAAGACAACCCTGCATCCTGATAAATTATTCAAGTATAAAATATTACCAAACAGAATGGTGAGAAAACATAGCTGGTTTAATATAAAAAAGGTAAATCTCTTCCAGGAAAACTACCTTTTGTAAGGATCAAGAGCCTTAAAAACATCTCTATGCTTTGACTTAGTAATTTCACTTCTGGGAATCAAGTCTCTAAGATATTACCAGTTTTAAAAAATGCAAATATACACATTGGTCAGTATAATAAAGTATGGTATATTTCCATGATGAATTGCTATACATGTGTGAAAAATAAGATTTCTTTTTTCTAATATTAATGCTATGAGGAAATAAATGTCTATTGTGTGGTAATTGACCAAAAGTAGGATCAAATTTTGGGGATAAGTTAATATATTTGGAAGATTTATACATCAAATTATAAACTGGATGTAACATTGGTTGGTGAATTCTCATTCTCACTTTCTTTAAACTTTTTCTTGAATTATACTAGTGAATATTGGCAACTGGGGGGAAACGTGTTCTTTTTTCTTGTGTTAATTGTACCTATCTGGTGGAAGATAGGTAGTAGTAGCATTTTGAAAGCACAACTACAGTACCCAGTTTTGAAAGTTGCTTAATAGATAGTGTAAATAGGAGTGCCTCATTAAAAGTTCAGCCAGTTTCCACTCTATGCCTGCAGTAGCCTGTGTGCCTACAACTTCCTAATGACAAAAAACGTTGAAGGTGGCCAGACGTGGTGGCTCACACCTATAATAACAACATTTTGGCAGGCAGAGGCAGGTGGATCACCAGGTCAAGAGATTGAGACCATCCTGGTCAACATGGTGAAACCCCATCTCTACTAAAAATACAAAAATTAGCTGGGCATGGTGGTGCACCCCTGTAGTCCCAGCTACTCGGGAGGCTGAGGCAGGAGAATTGCTCGAACCCAGGAGGCGGAGGTTGCGATGAGCCAAGATTGTGCCATTGTACTCCAGCCTGGGTAAAAAGAGAAAAACTCTGTCTCAGGGAAAAAAAAGTTGAAGGTACCATTTCTCCCTAGCCAGTTCTGGTTGTCCATTTTTACACTGCTATAAAGAAGTACCAGAGACTGGGTAATTTATAAAGGAAAGGGATTTAATCGACTCACAGTATCATGTGTCTGGAGAGGCCTCAGGAAACATCATCATGGGGGAAGGCAAAGGAGAAGCAAATTATCTTCTTCACAAGGTGGCAGGAGAGGGAGAGAGCAAGGGCAGCTGCCACTTAGGAGATCATCAGATCTCATGAGAACACACTCACTACCATGAGAACAGCATGGGGGAAACTGCCCCATGAGCCAGTCACCTCCCATCAGGTCCCTCACCCAACACCTGGGGATTACCATTTAAGATGAAATTTGGGTGGCAAAAGCCAAACCATGTCACTAGTTTTATGAGATTGTCTGATTGTCATATCCTGTGAATCTGGAGGATATAGAGAGGAGGAAACCAATATTTTTGTTCATTGAGTACCTTCTGTATACTGGTATTTTATTTAATGTTCATAAAACCTAAGATATGAGATCTAAACCTACTTTCCCCATTTTACAAATGAAGGCACTGAAATTGAGAGATTACATACATGGTCCAGAGTCACTTAGCTAGTACTTGCCAGTATCTAGATTTCAGCCCAACTATCCAGACACCAAAATCTCTGCTCTCTCCATTGTTACCCTTAAACAAATTTTGAAGTTATATTGTTGTGACTAACTATTGGAAAGCACATTTTGGCTGGTGGGTTTACATTTAGCGCACATTTTTTTAACTTGTGCAAGCAAATAAATTACGAAGTAGGATCAAAGCAGGGTGGGTACCTGTAAATGCAGGCTTATCTAACCAGGTACATTTCTTAGCATTGAGACAGTAACTTCATTTTGGTTTTGCTTGTGTCTTCTTAATATTCAGATTATACTCCATATCCAGTTAAATATGTTGGAAAACGTGATAGAGACACTAAAAAATGCTACAGAAGGAAATTTATCAAAATATGTGAAGAGACAGATGTTCTCAGACGAAGTGGTGAGTATGCAAGTGCTGCAGAAATCATTTAAAAGTGAAAGGGCACTCTTAAAAAATGCCCACTAATTTCTCAATTCTAAAGCTTACCTTAAAGAGATTGCCAAATATGGCAACTTCTCTGTTCCTGTTTTAAGACATCCATGTCTATATGCAAAGATTTTTTTTTTTTTCCCAACAGAATATATTCTTTGAAATTATAGGAGACTTTTCCTTTTACCTTCTTTTTTTCACACTGTATTCATGGGCCCTGGCTCACTCATTTTCTTCTAGATGCCAATTTTACACCTTTTTTCTTTTCCCTCAAGCCTTCAAAACCTTTTCCTCACTTCTCACTCTCAGCTGATCACCTTATTTCTTGTTTCATGGAGAAAATATAAGTAATCAGAAGAGAATGACTGCTCCATTGACAGCCTCTGGCCCCTTGCCCTGTTTACCCATGATGACTATGGATGCACCGCTCACGCCAGCCTCTCCAGTTGTGCGCTAGAGCTCATCCCCTCTCACCCGCTCCACAGCGTCAGTCCAGAAGTTGACTCACTCTTTTGGGCATCATCAATATCCCCTTCTCTGTGGGTCATTCTTGTCAGCAAACATTAGGATGTAGTATCTCTCATCTTAAATAAGAAAAAGAGTCTCCTGTACAAATGAAAAGACAGATCATGTGTTTAGATAAGAAGACCTAGCCTCATGAAAACTTTTTTTGAAGTTACTTTGATAGTGTAACATGAAAATATCACTTTTTTTTTTTTTTTGTAGTTAAAGGTTGGTTGAAAAAACAAGATTATCTAGAAAAACCCTGTGAAAGGGGCAGTAAGCGTTGCTAGATCTAGCAGATATCAAAGCATGTTAAAGTTTCTGTAATTCAAACTGTAGCTTAGGTCACGAATAGGGCAGCTAATGGGACAGAATAGAAAGTCCAGATACAGACCAAATCACAGATACAAATTTAGTGTAACATAAAGGCAAAGGCAAGCATCTGAAATCAATCTAAATGGATAGACTGGTAAGGAGTACTAGGGTAAGTAGAGAGCCAATAGAAAAAGATACACTTGTATATGTTTTTATACCACAAACCAGGATACATTCCAAATGGATGAGAATTTAAATTTTTTAATTGAAACATACAAGTAGGAGATATAAACATTAATGGATTCTTTAATGTCCTGGGAGTGGAAAAACTTATCTTTAAATCAAAATCCAAATCAATTAAAGAAGTGATAAATTTGACTACATAAAAATGTTCAAACCTTTTTTTCGTGTGGCAAAAACTCCATAAGCAAAGTCAAGAGGTAAATAACAAACTAGAAGAAAGTACTTTCAGTTTTTAATCATACTGACAAAAGGATAACTAGCCCTAATATTTAAAGAGCTCTTTTTGAGGCCGTTGCAGTGGCTCACACCCGTAATCCCAGCACTTTGGGAGGCCGAGGTAGGTGGATCACAAGATCAGGGAGACCATTGCAGCCAACACGGTGAAACCCCGTCTCTACTAAAAATACAAAAATTAGCCGGGCGTGGTGGCGCGTGCCTGCAGTCCCAGCTACCTGTGAGGCTGAGGCAGGAGAATTACTTAAACCCAGGAGCTGAGATCATGCCACTGCAGCCTAGCAACAGAGTGAGACTGTCTCCAAAAAAAAAAAAAAAAAAGAACTCTTTTTGAAAATTGTGAGAAAAGAGCCAACAACGCTAAAGAAAAATGGGTAAGAGATGTGGACAGAACTTACTAAAAATGAACTGTGAATGACCCTTAAACATTTGGAAAGATTCTCTTGCCCATATCAAGAGAAATGCAAAATAAAACTATGATCTTTCTCATGAGTAGAAATCTGCCAGTTTGCCAGCCTGTTTGGTTGGTGAGGCTCTGAGGAAATGGGCACTATCGTCCGATGCTGCTAGAGGGAAAACAGATTGGTATACCCTGTGCAGAGGCATTTGGCAGTATCTCACAAAACTACAAATAATTTCACCCCTTGACTCAATCGTCCTACTTGGAATATATTCCAAAAATATACCAGCAAATACAAGGAAGTTGTATGTACAAGGCTATCTGTTGCCGGCCGATTTGTAATAATAGTAGACTGGAAAAAAGCCCAAATTTCCATCAGTAATGGACTAGTTGTACAAATTAGGGTCTGTTCGTACAAAGGACTGCTATGTAACCCGAAGGAAGTGAGGAACAGCTACATCATATACTGCTATGGATCACCATTTATATGGATCACTTAAATTTTTTTTTTTTTTGAGATGGAGTTTCACTCTTGTTACCCAGACTGGAGTGCAATGGCACAATCTCAGCTCACTGCAACCTCCGCTTCCTGGGTTCAGGCAATTCTCCTGCCTCAGCCTCCTGAGTAGCTGAGATTACAGGCATGTGCCACCATGCCCAGCTAATTTTTTGTATTTAAGTGACAAAAGCAAGATGCAAATGGGTGTGTGTGGTTTGCCTTAAGAAAGCGATACCATATATTTATATATATATTTAGGATTTTGAAAAACACTATGGATGAAAAACCCAAAATTTAAGTGGTTATGTTGACTTCTTTTTCAGATCATTTTTTGTATAGAAACACTGCTGATTTTTGTATGTTCATTTTGTAACCTGCAGCTTTACTGAATTGATTTATCAGTTCTAAAGGTTTTTTAGTTGTCTTTAGGAACTACAGTTAATTGTAATGCATATTTCAAAAATACCAAAGGAGTAGATTTTTAATGTTTCACTGCAGAAAAAGATACATTGTAGGTGATGGATATGTTCATTAACTTGATTGAATCTTTCTGTAATGTACACATAGACTGAAACATCACATTGAACTTTATAAATATACACAATTGATGACAATTATAATTTGACAAATTATTTTTTTAATTTAATTTTTAAAAATTAAAAAATTTTAAAAGAGAAAGGAAAGTGAAGGTGAAGGATAGAAGCATGATTTCTCTGAATGTACCTTGTTTGTATATTTAACCTAGGAACCATGTAAATGCTTTTCAGAACTTTAAAGCAGAGTTAAATAAAAATGAAGAGAAAAAGTAATTCCTAAAAATGGAGCGTGAAATGAAACAAATGAACCCATGTGTCACGTTGATGGCTTAAGTACACAAATTGGAATTATTGTAGGTCATTTGAAATATAGTAATTTGTACCTCTCTCATAGCATAATACTTAAGGTGAAAAAAAGAAGTGTAAAGAAATTGTACATTATGACAGTGATCATATTGTTAATAATAACACTGATAGTGTCATTTTGATCAACCAAGTGGCCTGTTGGTTGGTACTCCTTTTCTTCCTCATTTCTCCTGCCTCTCCTTTTTATAGTTAGGTCCAGGCTGACGGCTGAGATGGCAGGCTTGGCATTAAAGGGCAGTGGCTGCTTCCTCCTCCTGCCACACTGTCGCCTTCCCAGCCCTGTGACATTTCCTCACTTCCACCCAAAGGCTTCTTCCTGCTGATAAAGGGAACTTGTCAGGAAAATGACTAACTGAATATGACTGATTTCAAGCTTCTTTATATTTGTGGTCTTAGCTCTGTTTAGGTTGTGACCCACCCAACCCTTTTGGAGTAACTTTAGAAAAGTAGGGAAAGTGGAAGCATGAACAGATTTTAAAGTGCATAGTCGTGTGTATGCATACATGTGAAATACTCATACAACTTCCATTTTCTCAGCAGCATTGATGTTAACAATCTTTCCTTAGACCTGATCCATTAATACATTGTCACCATTTGTATGGCTGAAGCACCCAAACAAACTTCATATTGCAAAATACTCATATAAGACTGTTTTACTTAGAAAATGAACCCTCTAGTTCAGTATCTTCTCTCTGGTTACTGGGGGACACTCAAGGAACTGCTTGATGAGAAATGGATTGATTCATATAACTCCAGTAGCTTTTGAGCTAGTTCTAAATATATATGTGTGAGATTGCAAATGCAGTCTTATATTGTAAAAGTCTGCATTTTACAAATGTTGCATTTAATGTTTATGCCAACAGTTACTTAAAATGTGTTATGTATGGAGATGAGACTATAAACTACCATAGGTGCTATTATACCATCACAGGACTATCGAAAAGAATTGTTGATTTATTTCTGTAGTTATGTAACAGAACTATTACAGTTTTTAGATCAAAATGATCTCCAGCTTGGCATGTTTGTTGTGCTGCTTTTAGAAGCCATACGCTGCACATTAAGTCATTTTCACCTTGAACGTGAGGACTAAACAAGCTGTTCTTTTTTAAGAACATTAAGAAGTGCTTAAGCTGCTTGTCTGCAGGTATGGTTGGGAGCCCTGTCTGAAAGGAAGATGTGCAGGTGCAAACAGTGTTACAAATTTAGAAAAGGGCCAGAGGATTTGTTAGGAAGCTTGATCCCAATTAAATTCCGTCAAGAAATGTGTTTAGATTATACCCTTGATAAGGATTGAACGAAGTAAAATATTGATTTTATTCAGAAAGTAGCTTCACATTCTCCATTCTAGTTCACCCATTTTGGGGGTTAAATACCATTCATATACTTGTGATTCTAGTATGTATGTCTCTAGTCTAGACCTCTCCTTCATGCCCCAGATTTGTATATCTAACAGTCTTCTAGACATACCCATTTAGATGTTTCACAGCTATCTCAATCAGGTCCAAATACAGCTCTTGATGTTCCCTTCCAAATCTCACCCTCCCTGTTCTGTGTCTCAGGAAATGGTAGCACCCATCATCCAGTTACTAAAGCCCCAGTTGAGAAGGTAACTTTGACTCCTCCCTTTCCTTCACCCGTTCAAAAATAAGTCCTTTCAGTGTAACCTCCAAAATGTACCTCCCAAACATGCATTTCTCCATCTTTTCTGTACCTTTCCCAATCTTAAGCCACCACCCTTTCTTATCTGGGCTATGGTATGGGCCTCCAGAAGAGTCTCCACATTTCTGTACATGCCAATCCATTATGCAACTTTTTCAATGTAAATGAAATCTTGTCCCACTTTAGATGCTTTGATGGCTTTTTTAGAATAAATTTCAAAAAGCTTCTTGTGGGATATATATAAAGTCCCATGTAATTTGGCCCTGCCTCCTCCTGCTCTAATCATTACATTGAACAAAGTTGATTCTGCTGGTATATGACCTCCTTTAGTTGGTGTGTTTCATTATATAAATGTGTTATTTGAACCCTCCTTTATATTAGGTATGATTTTCAAATACTAATTTTGAATTTTGTGTGTAGCTTTTGTAATCTCTCATAGTAATACTTCTGTGTTCCCCAATTCACTGGTTTTCACTATTTTAGCTGTATACCATATATATATATTTTTTGAGATAGACTCTCCTCTGTCACCCAGGCTAGAGTATAGTGGCACAATCACGACTCACTGCAGCCTCTGTCTCTTGTGCTCAAGTGATCTTCCACCACACCAACTAATTTTTTAAATTTTTTTTGTACAAAGTCTCACTGTGTTACATAGGCTGGCCTAGAAATCCTGTGCTCAAGCGACCCTCCCACCTCAGCCTCCAAAATTGCTGGGATTACAGGCATGAGCCACTGGATCTGGCCTACCATACATTTTTGTTCATTTCCATTACTTTTTCTTAGAGTTATAGTAAGAACAAGGAATAAAACTTGAAGAGATATAGTGATCTGTTCTTGCTTTTTTCCAGCTGGCCAAAGTGAGGGAAAAAGTGAAGGATGTGCCTGCCCTTGTGGACAAATTTGATGAGCTCTATGGGAAGCTGCACTTCAGTGGCCAAGTCACCACTTATTCTTTGGATGCTGTGCTCTGCCACGTCCCAGCAGGCAGGAAGTCCCACATGTTTCTATTAAACAAGAGGACGGTCAGCCATCGCACCCTCCAGCCACTTAGCCAGTCCCTGTTGGCTGAGTAACCCTGGTTTCAGTTCATCTGTGGATCTGAAGGGCCTGCTTCTAGTGAGTTATCGCCTTTCCTAAGAAGCCAGGCATTGCACTTCAGCAGACACTGTGCTGACACTTGGTCTCCTCCTGAAATTCCCAAGTTCACTGAATGGTGGCATGCCAATCTCTGAGAAGTTATATTGCACCGCTGTGAAGGTCTAGATGCAAGCGTGGCTCCCTCAGAAAGGCGCTTCCCTTGTGCACTGCTGAGAATTCTTGAAGGAACATGGTCAGTCTCTAGTCCAGCTTCCGGCACCAGAGTGTAACCCAGTAAGCACCATTAGGAATTAATTTCACGACAAGTGTGGTCAACTCTGATTTTCAAGGGAGTAGTTACTTGCAGATTACATCCTTGCTGAATTCAGGAGGTCTGAAACCCTATTCTACCATGTTAGAAAACAGCCCAGGATTTTCTCATTGCTCTGCCATCATATATGTCTATGACTTGAGCCCTCATTTTTTCATCTGCAAAACAATAATGCCTATGTGTATTTGCATACAGATTTGAAATCTACATTCAAGTTTCAGTAGGATCAGATTTTTTCAAAAATAAATAAGGTTCATAAGCAAACTTGATGGGATTGTGGTGGGTCTGTCTTTTCAGCAGCACAAGCAAAACCAGAATTTAGCCTTTAGAACTGCTAAGCTAAATATAAATGATTACTGTTTTGATCATGGGCAAGCCATGTGCTTTTCAAAATAAGTGCCACTAAAAGCCACATAATGCTTAGGTTACTATGTGGATAATAAATAGTCCTACAGTTTATCTTATATGTTAATGATTTTTCTCTCTTGAATGCAATATTAAAAAATATGTAGCATGGGAGCAGTTCAAAGCTGCTTCATACTTATGATGGTCTGAAATACAGTATGTGCTGAATTTTACTTTACCTGGTCACCAGTGAGCAGAAAATACACGGTGACTGCACCTCACTTGCTCCTTGTGTTTCAGAGAGCCCAGAGGGTTGCTGCAGACTCCATTGCCACCTCCAAAACTAAGACTGTTCACTTGATGGTTGTTCTGAGGCAAGGATTATAGAGTCAGAAATTGTAGACTAGGAGGAGTCTTCTGAGTCTCCTAATTACTGCCTTCATCTTTCAGGTTAAGGAAATGATCCATTCAAGACAGCCCCAATATCACCTATAGATCATGTCTCAGAGAGTCTTTGCCAAATCCAGGTCTGAGATCTCAGCTCCACCTGAGGACAGGATCCAGAGATGAGAGTCACCAATTGGCATAATTGATTTGTGGTAGAGCTGAGATAGAATCCAGATTCCTAATCTAGTATCCTTCCCACTGTACCACATTATGCCTTTTCAGAGGGGAAAAAGGAGCATCTCCTAAGAAATAGAATACTAAGGGTTCCAATGACTTACTGTGTGGTCCTGGGCATCCTTAGCTTCCTTATGTGATAAATGGGAATAATAGTACCTACCTCTTAGGCTTGGTTTGAGGATGAAATAAGGTAGGGAATATAAAGCAAGCAGATAGTGGCTGGCACATAGTACATGCAATATGTTTGCAACTAGTTAAGGAATTATAAAAACAAATGAGTTCTTCTTTCTGCTCAAAAATATTGAAAGAATTTCTTTTCCTTGTGCTCTGTGAAACACTGGACAGCCCCATTTAGAGAAACAAATTCTATGCCCTCATAGAATCCTAATTGTTTCTGTGTGTGTCTGGTGTTTTGCACATGCAAAAAAAAAAAAAAAGGTGCTTGGATTTCTCCACCTTCAGTCTTAGGGAATAATAGGGCATGCTTCCTGTCCCCTCAGCTTACTTTTTATCTTCACTTCTCACAGTTCAAATCGCTGTAATGCTCTGGGTCAGTGTGGCCCTGGTTTTTAGCTAACAACCATTCATTAGCAAAATCACCAAATTTTGTGAGCAGTAAATAGCAACAAGCTTCCCAGTCCCTGCTCTAGGAGGTGGCTGTTGCTTAGCCAACTGGAAAAATGTCCATTCTACCTGTTCTGCGAAGCCTTAGTACAGAGGTAACTAATGTATATAATGTTCACCCCAAAGTAACAGATGATTCTAAAGTCTTAACAAATAATAGTGTTCAATATAGGTTATGGTGGGCATTTCATTCTTTAAAATTCAGTAATTCATTTGAAAAAAATGGTGTTCATTTGAAAGCAGTAGTTTACTTAAATCATTTGCTTATTCTGTTTTTTTCTGTTTGGGGTTTTGTTTTTTGTTTGTTTGTTTGTTTGTTTTTTAGATACAGTTTCACTCTGTCACCCAGGGTGGAGTGCAGTGGTGTGATCTCAGCTCATTCAACCTCCGCCTCCCCTGTTCTCATGCCTCAGCCTCCCGAAGTAGCCAGAATTACAGTTGTGCACCACCACACCTGGCTAATTTTTTGTATTTTTTTAGTAGAGAAGGGACTTCACCATGTTTGCCAGGCTGGTCTCGAGCTCTTATCCTCCCTCAAGTAATCTGCCTGCCTTGGCCTTCCAAAGTGGTAGGATTATAGGCATGAGCTACCACACCTGGCCTACTTAGTCTATTAATGAGAATATTTGATTGGACAGAACATCTTATTCCTTAACTCTGTCACGTGCTTTTGTAGATTGTTTTTACTTACCATAGATGTCTGTTGCTCCAGAATCCCAACAATCAACATGGTAAGTTTAACACAGTTACTAAAAGGAGACAAAAAGAGATCTTTTTAATTAGGTGATATCAGGAATAGTTCTGGTTATTGATTGCTGTGTGAAAACACACTCCCAAACTCAGTGGCTTTAAACAACACCATTCATTGAGTTATTCTCATTATCCTAGGTACTGACTGGGTTCAGCCAAACAGTTCTTATTTAGGTTCTCCTGCAGTTTTAGTCATCAGATTATTGCTGGGACTGGAATCATCTCAAAGGCTTTCTTAGTATTTCTGGCAATTGATGCTAGGATCTCAGCTAGTGCTGGGGCTGGAACATCTACATGTGCTTCCCCAAAGAAAGGTGGTTAGGTATTAGGAGTGACTGTCCCAAGGGTAGGACCTTTTATGACCAACTCTCAGAAGTCATAACATCACTTCCACTAAAGTCCCAATGCCCTGCCACCACCAGATTCAAAGGGAGAGAGCACATATCCCATCTCAGTGGTAGGAATGTCAAAGAACAAATTCTGTGAAACTGTCATAGATAGTCTGTTTTCTCCCCTGTTTAAAACCTCCTGAGGACCTCACATGCTTCTGGATAAAGCTCAGCCTCTTCAACATGATTTAGAAAGTCCTTCCTAATCTGGCCCACGTTTGTCCATCCAGCTCCAACTTTTGCTATTCCACACCCCTCTTCCCTCCTTGTGGGATGGCTAACTCCTACTCATCATTCAGGTCTCAGCTTAGACATCTTTTTGTCTGGGAAGGCTTTCTGGTCTAGCTCACCTGGTTAGGTGAGCTCCCCATGTGCCCCATGTACCACTTAGCAAAGCACTCATCATATGCCTGTCACTGTCTGTTTTCTTCACTAGACTCAGGTACCATGTCTCCTTTTCTCCTCTGTTTGCTGGGTGCCTAGCATGGTAGGGGATGTGTGAGAGGATTATATTTAACTCACCAGCTCATTTAACCATATAATATAATAATGTTGGTGATCATTTTGGTCCCCCATGGACAACTTTTCCTCTCTAAATACCATGTACCCAGTGCAGGGTCTAAATGTCCCCCTAAACTCATATGTTGAAATCCAAATCCCCAAGGTGCTGTTATTAGATGATATAGATTTTGGGAGGGAATTAAGGTGAGACCCTCATGAATGGGATTTGTGCCATTATAAAACAAGCCCAAAGAAATTTGGTAGCCCCTTCCTTTAAGCGAGGACATGGCAAAAAGGCACTATATATGAACCAGAAAGTGGGCCCTCACTAGACACCAAATGCTGGTGACTTGTTCTTGGATTTCCCCGCCTTCAGAACTCTGCAAAATATATTTCTGTTGTTTATAAGTCCCCCGTTTTTGGTATTTTGTCATAGCAGCCTGAAGGGACTAAGTCAGCCAGTCCCAACCTTCCACATTTAGACCTGACTCCAGGTTTTGCTGAGACCACTGTGTATCCCTTCCTCCTCCCACCTAAAGTGTCCCCACTCTTTATCCTGTTCTGCCCATTTTCAAGGTCTAACTTTTGTCACTTCTTCCATGAGGCATTCACAAGCTGTTTATATCCTCAGGGATTATCCATTCATTCATATCTCTATTGAGATCTATATTGAGCATCTACAAAGGACAAGCCACTATGAAAGTCTCTTCGCATGCCACAGGGAAAAGACAGACAAAATCTCTGTCCCAACATGGAAAATTTTAGCCTGCCACATCGACTCCGAGGGACCTTTTGTCCTGTTCATTTGCTTATTGTTTCTGTAGGTGTTGCTTATTACAGAGTGATCATTTCTACTGAAGAATGGACTTCATTGTGAAATAGAACAATCCTGGGCAGTTTTTCTTGATAGTTTTGTTGAGGATGATCCAGGAATTAATACAAACTTTTAACTACTTATAATGAATATCGTTGGGATATTATAATGAGGAAGTAAGGATTTTCCTGCTACAATTCAGGCAGGCAAAATTGTAAGCTTCTCTATTTCTTTGCAGTGAGCTAAAACTTACTGTGAACTCTAGTTATACTGAAAACAGGAGTCATGGGAGACTTGCTCTTGCTTCAAGGATATTTTAGTCATTGATTTCTTTGAAGTAAATTTTCAATCTTTCTGCATATCTTCCTCCTACCTTTTCATAGCCACAATGATAGCTGAGTATAAGGCTGTGGCTCTCAAACCTGAACATGCATCAGAATCACTTCGAAAGTTTGTTGAACTACAGATTGATGGGCCCCACCCCCATAATCTCTGATTCCATACATATGAGTCAGGGCCCAAGAATGTGCATTACAGATGCATTCTCAGATGATGCTGTTGCTAGTCTGGGCAACACATTTTAATTGTTGGTATAACAGAAAGCTTGTGTGTCCATGTGGACAGAAGGTATAGACTTCAGATCCAACCTCTGGATCCTCTGGTCTCAGTTGTGAGGAGGGGGAAGAGTGGGAAGTCTGGCCTTGTCCCTGGAGTCCTGAGTAAATATGTCTGAGGCAGTGTTGGACCCAACAGCACCCACTGCTAAGGTCTGTAGTCTCTGCCATCTGCCCTACACATAATAAGTACCCTTCCTCTGCTGTTCTCTCATGCTGACCCCAGGCCCACCACTGAATTAACTGAATCAAGAATCCCAGGGCATTAGGATTTGGAGACAATGAAAAATATATCCATTTATTTTTTCAGATACACATAAAGAAATCCATACAAACTAAGACCAATTGTGGCAAAACTACTCAAGACTCAACTAAACCCACAATTCAAATTTCCTTCATAACATTTCTATCTATACATTTGATTCATAGAAATTACACTTCATAGATAAACTAGCCATAAAAATGATTACAGTGGCAAAAGCTATCATCAGTAACATTTGATATGCATAAGAAATTGTGAGGAACCAAATCATGGTAAATTGATTCTAAGGAAATGATTGCACAAAAGTAAAAGCGAAATATTTTTTAAAAGGAAGTGGTTCAACTCTATTGCATAGAAAATAAATCAAGGAATTACATTGGCTTAAATGGCCTTAGTTCAAAAAAGTGTTCTCTCAACAAAAAGTAATGTATATTGGTGTAATGGAACTATGGTTATACTGAAAACAGGAGTCATGGGAAACTTGATCTCAGTATAACCAGAGTTCATAAGATATGTTTTATTCAATAACATGGAGTGAAAA